ACTTCCGCGAGTGACGTCACTTGCAGTCTTTTTAAAATTTTATTTAATTGATTAATTATTTTTTTAATTGAATCTCTCAACATTTTACACAAGTAGCTAGGTGGTGAAGACAAGACAAAAAGAAACTAAATCACGAAGTCACTTGCAATCACCGCTTGCACTCTCAGCTACTTGCAATCCACACGGATTGTGCGTGTTGCCAATGGAGACAAGACTCTGTGGTGGTTAAATGATTAAAACTAATTTAGTACTATAACATACAGGGTCCTGCAAGTCATCTGTAGGAGAAAAGGACAAGACCCGCAAATCCGTGGCCACAGAACAGCAGAATATGAATGCAATGCGCAAAGTCTCTCTTTAAGCGCTTTTAAACCTCCGTAGAAAACCATATTGTCCAATCGAATGAACGGAGAGGCAGGCCTTCCGTTGTGGTGACGAACGTTTACCGTTGCTTAGAAAGTCCGGAGACTGCTATGATGGAGGAGAAACTTTTGGTGTCTGTCGCGGATTACCCGGAGCTGTATTTTTTAAGATTTCTGTTAATATGACAGTTTACTTAACAGCAAAATCCAAAGATTTTAGAGCGCTACTCTCCAACCTGCACCACTGCAGACGCTGTTTGACTTTGTCCAACGAGATGAAATGAATGACATGAGTGTGTTTATTCTTGAGTTTTTTTTCTCGCAACACAACTTTTTAAAAATTAGTAATGAAAGTATAAATTATTTTATTCTCAACATTTTATTTTGACATTTTTCTCTAAATTTAACAAGTATTTTTCTCGCAATTTAATGACTTTATTCTCAACATTTTATCTCGACTTTTTTTCTCGAAATTTAACGAGTTTTATCTCGAAACATAACGACTATATTCTCGAAATTTAGTGAGTTGAATCAACATTTTATTTCGAAATTTTTCTTGAAATTTAACGGATTTAATCTCATATTATAATGACTTTAATCTCGAGATGGTTTTATTATTTTTATTATTGCTTGGCCCTAATCCTCTTCCGTACAAAAGAGAATTAATGATGACAGAATTTTTATTGAATTAAACTACTATTGAATTCATTATTAACGGTTAATCTTTCTTACTTTACACGAGTGTGTCAATGATGGTTTTGGTGTTCATGACATTGAAAAGCCATTTTTGCTTCATTAGGGGTGAAATAATGGTTTATTATCAGTTCCTGTTCCTCACAAAAAGCTATATAGTTTCAGAAGACTTAGAATAAAGATACAAAAGTGGTTTTATGACATTTTTATGGTGCTTTTCTCTTTTGTTGTTTTTTTCTTCTTCTTGTACTTATGAAGCTTGACAGCTGTGGACACTATGGACTGTCATTGTATGGCAAGAGTTGCGTGACATTTCTGCAGAAATTCTACTTTTGTATTCCATCAAAATAATAACAGCATACTAGTTTGAAATGACATGTGGTTGTGTAAAAAATAAATATCCCTTTGAAAGGAGATTGCTGAAAGATTCAGAGGCTGGTTTGGGTTTAGATGTTGATAAGACTGAAGTGGACAGAAAGCACACAGTGCCTGCAGAGGCTGTCAAGAATTGTGCAAAGCAAATGTAAAGCAACACAACAAACACTCGGCAGCCAACACTAAAGCCTAGGTTCCCTTATGGGAAACCAAAGAAAGAGTGATGAATAATGAGAGCAACAGAGAGCAAAAGGCATAAGGGAGGAAATAGTGCTGAAATCTAATTACATATTGTTATGCTTCAATGCTTTAAAAGTGAAAAGAGAGACAAACATAAGGAAGATGGGGAAGTAGGGGTGATAACTGTCAGATATTGCTACTCCAAATAATTGTTCATTCAGTTACAGAATCAGATAAGTATCATTAACACACCATTTCCACTTCAGTTTCTATTCATTTCATTTTAAATTGAACTCTTCACCCAAGGAAATATTTTATTGTAGTGGAGTAATGTGGGTCAGATCGCTGCTGGCAAGGCTTTTGCTAATGAATGTATCTCTGCGTGCTGGTCATCCATAGCTAGTGGCTCATTGTTTCAGGGGTTCAAAGATCATGTTCTCTTTTCTCTCTCCCTTCCAGTCACCATCGACTCACTCTACAAGGTCACAGAAGGTCGTCAGTCTGACATTTTCCATCGCCATGCAGAAGGTACCTTTGATCCAAGTTGTTGTTTCACTATTTACCATGGCAATCAAATGGAATCCCTGGACTTGGTCACCTCTAATTCAGAGGAAGCGAGGACATGGGTGACTGGACTCCGATATCTGATGGCCGGTATCAGTGATGAAGATTCGCTAGCTAAGAGACAGCGCACACATGACCAATATCCTTTACTGCAAGATGGATGGATGGATGGACAAATTTATTACAGTAATCATTTACTACTCTTCATGTTGTTTCTTCAGGGGAGCACAAAAAAAGAGATGTTTTGAGAAATGTTCACACTGCTCTTTTCCATGCAATAAATGCATATTTGCAATTGTAGACACTACCGTTCAAAAGTTGCAGGCCAGTAACACTTTTTAATGCTTTTGGAAGAGGTTTCTTGTGCTCACCAATACTGCATTTATTTGATCATGAAATGCAGTAAAAACAGTAATATTGTGAAATATTATTAAAATGTAAAACATTTAAAACATTTTTATGTATTTTAAAATGTAATTTATGCGTGTGATGGCTAGGGTTGGGTACCGAAACCCGGTACCAATATGGCACCAGTACCTATGTATAAAAATAATACATCGATTAGCAACGGATTATAAATATACTTAATTATTATGAAAATACCAGAGATGGCTTGAATAACACAGATAAACTATATTATCGTAGTCGAGTGTTTATTGTCTTTGTTTTATCATCCAAAAGGTTTATATGTTCTGTTTACTCAGTTACAGCTATAGTAGCATGCCTTTGTCCATATAAGGGATTTCCTGGAGGGTGGTGAGTTGCTACTTCTGTGACTGGATATGTGAATTTTCTGTGCGAGGGCAGAACGCAGATTTCAGTCCCTAATTTCGGTGCTATGTCTGAGCGATCGATTGAAATATTTGTCCTCCGGTTCTCCGAAATGGACGTAAGAAGCATCATCACCGGCACCGCATGTGAAAAATAATTTCCCGACTGAGAAAATGCAACAGACATCATGTGTTTATAGTGCTAATGCCCAATCCATCATTTTGGGGGAATTTTTATTTATTTATTTTTTATTTTTTTAATAAGTATCGGGTCAGGCACCGTTTAGGCACTGGAACCGTTTTAAAAGTATCGATTTGGCACCGGTATCGGTAAAAAAAACAAAAAAAACATACCCAACCCTAGTGATGGCAGTGAATTTTCAGCACATGATTCTTCAGAAATCATACAGACATGCTGATCACATATTGACGCTTGGTCAGGACCCCTTGGCGTGGCTTTTTGACAGTCAAGGTACCCCTTTAGCATTATTTTTCGATGCACAGCGGTATCCTTTTAGCATCACTTTTTGATGTGCAGGGTCCTCCACTGTTTCCAGTTGTTTGTCTTAATTTAATGGTTTGCATGAGGAGTTGCATACATTATTGGATAACTAGATGGAGGCAGAGAGGAAAAGAAGGATTTGTGATCGATTTTGACTGATTGATTTAGACCGATTTACAAAAGAGAGAGATGTACAAAGAGGGAGATAGCATGAACTCTTTGAGTCAGTCTGCCTGTGAGCAGTTCACTGCTTCAGGGAGTCTTCCTCTGCAGGGAGTTCTTACAGAAGCACAGACTCACATGAAAGGACCTGCCTTAGAGGAAGAGGAGATAAAAAGCCAGAGCTGCTCATCCTCTCCTCCCTTATGTTTATGTCTGTTATTCTCATTAAAGAGGCGTGAGTCATCAGGTGGCAGTCATTATAATCTGCCATAACAGTAGAAACACAGCATATGGTCGTTTGTAATTTCACTTATGGTTTCAATCTAGACGCCAGTTCAACTGTGACCCGTTTTATTGTGCATAAAGAGACAGTGATTCCAGTGCCCTTTGTTTTAAAAACATAATCATGGAGAACCAGACAAGCAGAAGAGAGCAGACTAAAGTCTTTTAAGACTTTAAAGTGTCTTCAGACTGCCAGTCAGAAATTTACCCACTCACACCCGCTGTACAAGACATTAAATGACATGTAATATAAAATAGATATTCTGCTTCGTACAGCTCTGGTTAAATGTTAATGCCCCTCTGATTAGCCTCCTAATTGCGCCGCTGTTACCTGAATCGACCGCTATATTTGGATGACTTTCAAAGTCTGTCCCTTGTCTGCAGACCCTTCCAAGTAGCCTCACTGTTTTCCTTTCAGTCACAGAAGCACTGCCTCTTTCCTGCCTGTAATTACATCCATCAAGGCTCTCTGCCAACTGTCATACTTCATAAAACAAGACATCTCTTCTTTCACAGTATAGATGATCTATTTCATGACAGCTTCTCACTACTGATCACGCATAGAGAAAAATATTCCTCCGTACCCATATACACACACATTTGCAGATATCCTAGCAAATGTATCAAAATTACATACAGTATTGCATAAAGAAACTTATTATCCACACAAAAATGTCTTGCATATCATGCATTTGCCCTCTAAGCGGATTGAGATCCAGCTCTTTGTTTTCAACATCTCATAACTCAAGATCTTTTCACTTTACGAGACAAATAAAGCAGCCCAATTGCACTCAACAGATGGGCTGATGCATTAAAACAGAGCTTTACTTATTTCAACTGTCAGGATGGCTGTTTTTTTTTCATGAAAAATCTATGAAAGTCCACACTTGCACAATTAAATTTGTGTGTCCGTACTGTGTGTTTGTCAGCTATGGGATTCTCTCAGTTGTGCATTGGAGCTAATTGTGTTACAGCTCTGAGAAGAGAGAAGGATGAGCTCATCCATTCCTGATGTTCACAGGCAGAAAAGTAATACAGATAATAATGTTCCCAATAAGGTTTCTTTTAGAGAGACAGAAGCATACACATTTTTCATTTTGCGATGAACTTTTTCTGTTTAAACTTGCTATCCTGAAAATCTTTTGATCAAGATAAATGTCAGTGTAACTTTATTCTGTGGCTTCATTGTCCAGCTTTTTCTCTGGTGGTCTTTTCTCTTAACCTTGATGTAAGTGGATGAAGCAGACCTTCGAGGAGGCTGATAAGAATGGAGATGGTCTTCTGAACATTGAAGAGATCTACCAGCTTTTACACAAGTTGAACGTCAACTTGCCTCGCAGAAAAGTCAAACAGATGTTCCAGGTATGTGGGGAAGATTGGAACAGTGGAAGTCATCAAATGTGACTTTATTTCTTCAGAGGAATGCAAATGAAGATTTTTAGTAATATAATAAGTCTCTGTGAGTCCATTAAACACAATCTGAAGCTCACTTACGTCAAATGCACACTCGACTCTCTAGTAAATCCATGTACGTCAGTTGACTGGTTGAAGTGATGGTTTACTGTTAAAAAAGTTCAAAATTAGTATTTTTCTTTCACACTCCTCTTGTTTCCCTTCAGAAGATATTGATTCATATGCTGGTAGTTGTATGGATTACTGTAATGATGTAGCTTTTTCTAGCTTCACTATTTGGGAACCTATTCACTTGCATTATGTAAACTTACAAAGATTTTTCTAAATTTCTTTGTTTATGTTCATTTAAGAAAAGAAAGGCATGAGGGTGAATAGATAATAAGATAATTTTTGGGGGTCAACTGTCCTTTTAATGTAAATCGATGGTAATCGTGGTATCGATGGTGTTGATAAGTCTCGTGAAATTCAGTCAGTATTTCCATTGCTTTGTAGAAAGTGTGATTTAATCAGGCTCAGGCTGTTCCCTCAAGGCAAAGTACAAATTATAATTTTAAATATCACATTGTTTTCTTTGTACTATTTGTTCAGTAGAGCTGTGCTAACACCATTGTGTTCTATATAACACCTTATGATTAAAGCTGTATCTCTGTTTTTGCTTCAGTTTACTTGGAAGACATTGAATTTGAGCTAATACTAAGCGGTAGTACTTTTGACAGTAAAAGAGAGGGAGAATTGTGCAGAAAGGGAGTTAAATACAGATGACAAAATGAAGAATTTTCACTTAAACTTAGACTGTTATTCAAAAAGGTCAGTTTATACTATTGTCATAGAACAGGCATGAAGAGACAATTTTTATTTTATGTTTTAATGTAATCTTCCTTTTATGCATAATGATAGTAAAGGCATATTAAGGATATTTTCTCTTTGAAACCCATTATGTATCTTTGCTCTTTCTCTGCATGTGTTCACAGGAAGCAGACACTGATGACCAACAGGGCACACTGACGTTTGAGGAGTTCACTGTCTTCTATAAGATGATGTCGTTAAGGCGAGACCTCTATCTGCTGCTCATGTGTTTCAGTGAGAAGAAGGATCACCTGACCGCAGAGGAACTTGGCAACTTTCTGTGTATGGAGCAAAAGGTCAGTATAATATCTGCTCCTGATCAAAACCTGTGACCTCTCACATTCGATATTGTGTCTCTTCTCATTTACCATATTTATACGGAATGGAAACTTGTATCTATGTTAAATTCCAGTACACATGTTCCAGTGACCATGTCTGTTTATGATATTTTCATGTTTTTATGAACGTACATGATTATTTCAGAAGCTTTCTCCCTCAGCCTTACATAGTGTTTTAAATGTAAATCCCATAAGCACTGTCCTGACTGATGTTCTGTAACCGCCTCTGATGTCAGGCTGATGTTAGCTCCTTCCTTTTCCTTTTCAAGCTCTTGCATCTTACTATGTGCTGTCTATATAGTGATAAAAAAGGTCCAAAGTTGCCTTGTCACTATTAGAGAAGAGTTGAAGCTCCTTATTCATCAAGTTAAAATTGTATTTTGCATGTAAAAAAAAAAAAAAAAAACTACTTAAGTCATCCAAGCCTGTACTTCCAAACACAGATAACATATGGCTTTAGTTCCTCGTATTGGTTCTTATATTAAAAACCCACACAAGTAATACAGAACTACTGTAAACAACACATTCTATATTTATTATGAGTATGTGTGTATATATGCAACTGTTTAAAAGTTTAGGGTCAGTAAGAGCTTTTTCAAAGAAATTAATTATTTTTGATCAAGGATACATTAAATTGATCAAAAGTGGCAGTAAAGGCTTTTACATTGTTACAAAAGATATATATTTCAAATAGATGCTGTTCTTTTTGCTGTTCTTTTGAACTTTCTATTCATCAAAGAATCCTGAAATACAATTATCACCGTTTTTTTCAAAAATATTAAGTAGCACAACTGTATTCAGCCCTGATAATTATAAGAGATGGTTCTTAAGTGTCAAAATAGCATATTGTAATAAATTGCACTTTAAAATATACTGAAATAGAAAACAACTATTTTAAATGGTAATAATATTTTACAATATCACTTTTTATATTATATATAAACCAAAGCATCATTTCACATTGCTTCAGATTAATAACTCAGACATAGTATAACTTTATTATTGATGTTTCTGATTTTACTTTTATTCTCCGTTTGGCTCTTTTCATTCTATTATACTTTTGATTCATAATTATTTTATAGATACAGTACACCTCACATTTTTACAGTCATTTGGAGTGTTTTACTGTGTTTTCTGTATTTCTTTTGTGAAATCCTTTATTGCACTTCTTTCCCTATTCCAGCTCAAAATCTGCCGGAGCTCTTGGGCATTCTTTAAGATTCAGAAAGTGAAAGGCTCTGCCTCTCTATCAGCCATTATAATGGCTTTCCAGCTGAGGCTATGAACAGCCCCAGTGTGATGCTAAAAAAGCCTCTCTGTGCCCCTGCTCCCTCTCTCCGCCCACGCACGGGCCATGAAGCCCTAGTGGAAGTTGTGAAAAGAGGGAAAGGGTGCAGACAAAACGAGAAGGGTATAACTGCAGACCGGAGATCTCCAAAATGGGGCGTGAACTCCAAAAGTGGGCAGAACCTCCAAAATGGGGCGGGGTCTCTTCGTGCAAAGACTTTCACCATTGGCTCTGGCTTCGGCCAATTGTTATTGACTTCAAAATAAAACTTTATAAATTAAA